ATGTTTAATAAGCCTGTTTAGCTGTATATTTTAATCTACACATTTTTCAAGCCCTTTCTCTTGATTTATATATATATATACGCTGTGTTCTGCATGCATGCTGATTGATGGATATGTCCTTCAATATTGGTAATTGCTCTTATTCTGTGAAAATGCCCATGTCATACCTGCACTTCAAAAATAAAGAATTATAAAAAAAAATAATAATACATTGCTTAAAAAATTAAAATAATAGCATAATAAACTAAAGGCAAACTCTTTTCAGTAATGTGAGAAATCAATGGCTTTCCTAAATTTGCACAGGAGGTGGTCATTAATTGCTGTTAAAAGTTAGTGAAAATAAGTATGTAATATGTCAGGCAATTGAGCAGGTTCACTAAGCTTCTTACAGAAAACTAAAGCAAAGGATTTACAGAGAAATCTCTATTTTAGTTATTTGCATTAACAGCATTTTACCATATTTGCTATGTAAAACATTAAAATGGGCTGTGAAATCACTTATTTCTGCAAGTGGCTGCCTTTTCCTTCTTCTACTTTCAAATCAATGTTTCATGGAAGATATTCCTGAAACAATTTCATACCTTAAAAAAATTAATATTTTACAACTGAAGATATTTCCTCTTTTACACAAACAAGTTATTTGTTTTAGAAACAGTGTTTGTGTATAGACCTCGAGAACACAATTGGAGAGAATGTTTAGAATCTAGTTCTAGAGATGTGTTTTGACAATAAACAGTTTGATACTTCAGTAGATGTGTTGACAATTGTATTTTGCTTGTCATCTGGGACAGAAAGCTACAGCATGTTAAATAGAAACATATTGCGTGTCTTCAACCCTACCGACAGACATGCACTCATACACATCCATTACTGCTACAAAATGTCTCTAGTCTACAGGATCTAATGGGGATTATTCACCAAATGGTGAACAGTGACAATTTGAAAACCAAACAGAAAAATGTCAGCAAAAAAATAGCCAATTTAGAAAACTGTTTTTAACAGTTGTTTACATTAGCCTAATTTTTGCAATTATTTTTCAGCTCACAACGGCATACTAGTTAGTATTCAGTTCATAAACTCTATTGTTTACTGTAAGGGCACACAGTAATGAGCCCATTGAATTATTATGTAATTGCTCTACAAACTGTTGTATTGCAAAAATTACAATTTAAAAAAAAAGAGTCTGGAACATAATATAAATAGAAAAAGAAGGGAATATACTGATCAGCCAAAACATTAAAACCACCTGCTTAATATGGTGTAGGCCCCATATGTGCTGCCAAAACAGCTCTAATGTATCAATGCATGGACTCCACGAGACCTCTGAACATGTCCTGTGGTATAAGACACCACGACTTTAGCAGCAGATTCTTTATCTACGAGGTGGGGACTCCATGGATTGGATTTGTTGTTCCAGCAATCGGATTGAGATCTAAACTCTTTGTCATGATCCTCACACCATTCCTGAACAAAGTTTGCAGTGTGGCAGGGTGCATTATTCTGCTGAAAGTGGTCACTGCTATCAGGGAACACCATTGTCATGAAGGGGTGTACATAGTCTGCAACATCTACATGAATGCCAGAACCAAAAGTTTCCCAGCAGAACATTGCCGGAGCACTCATTAACCTGATACCAGTTCAATGATTGTCCTTCCTGGTACCACTCTCTTCTCATCTCATAAGACTTGCCGTTTTGGAGATGGTCTGACACAGTTGCATAGACATAACTATTTGGCCCTTGTCAAAGTTGCTCAGATATTTTTGCATGCCCATTTTTCCTGCTTCCAACTCAAGAATTTCAAGAACTGACTGTTCACTTGTTGCCTAATATATCCCACCCCTTGCCAGGTGCCATTGTAATCATATAATCAATGTAATTCATTTTGCCTGTCAGTGGTTTTAATGGTATGGCTGATCAGTGTATAAATAAAGCTGTAATTAACCCCTTAAGGACAGAGCTTCAAAAGCTTGTCTTTCACTTAATGACAATGGCATTTTTTAAATTTTTTGCTGTTTGCGTTCAACTGCAATTAGCATTTTACAAATTTGTTGCACCAACACATATTATACATCGTTTTTTAAAGGACAGAAAGGGCTTTAATTTCATGTAACACACATATATGTAAATGCTTATTTATTATAAAAAAATACAGAAAAATTTTAAAAAAATGAAAATTTTGTGTTTTATTTACAGTTTTTGCAATAATAATAATGTGTGCATAATTAGTGCAGGTTAAGAAAAGTAATTAAAAATAAATTAATTTAGTTGTTCTGATTTACAGAATATATAATGTGTCTGGGATTTTAAGTTTTTTTTGGTAGTTACAGGTCACAAAGCACAAGGAGTAAAATAGACTTTTAATGTGGAGCGATTTTAGAATTTGTCTTATAAGCTTAATAGCCATAAAAGAAAACAAAATTGCCACGCAAAAGTATATATTTATATAAAGTAGACATCACGGGCTATTTACCTAAGGTTGTTTTGACACTTTCTACGTAGCCATTTCACCGCCAACCTCTGCTAAATATTGGAGTAAAATTTTTTTTGGCACACTTATAACAAAGAAATTCTCGTGTATATTTTGTAAAGTTGGTGTGTGCTATTCCTGTACAAAGTTTTATTTTGTGTTCAGTTACTTCTGCTGAGTACAACGATACCCCCATTGTATGTCTTTGGCACTATTTCGTGAAGTTACAGTGCCATACAGGATACCTGTCCTTTTCAGTATTCACAGTAGAATTTTGAGAGATGGATTTAATGAGCCTTAGCTTCCATTTGGGGTATTATAACAGTTTGATTGTTCAAAAAAACCCCACAAAGGCCTACCATTTGTAAAAGTAGACACTCCAGGGTATCTCATAAGGTGCATATTGTGCCTTAACATGCCCCCATTTTTTCACCAATATATGCCAAAGTATGTGGTAAAAAATAATTTTGTGCATTTTTTACATACGGATTGCATTTTTGCTGGGCGTTTTGTATATTTCATATGTGCCACTAAGTTCAAACCCCCCAAATTATGCTCAGCTAAGTCTTCTGAGTAAAATGACACCCCATATGAATGTCTTTGGCACTATTTCGTGAAGCTACAGTGCCATATAGGAAACCTGTCCTTTACAGTATTCACAGTAGAATTTTGAGAGACGGATTTAATGAGCCTTAGCTTCCATTTGGGGTATTATAACAGTTTGACTGTTCAAAAAAACCCCACAAAGGCCTACCATTTGTAAAAGTAGACACTCCAGGGTATCTCATAAGGTGCATATTGTGCCTTAACATACCCCCATTTTTTCACCAATATATGCCAAAGTATGTGGTAAAAATCATTTTGTGCATTTTTTACATACGGATTGCATTTTTGCTGGGCGTTTTGTATATTTCATATGTGCCACTAAGTTCAAACCTCCCAAATTATGCTCAGCTAAGTCTTCTGAGTAAAAAGAAACCTCCAATGAATGTCTTTGGCACTATTTCACTACAGTGCCATATAGGAGACCAAGCCATATCCGTTTTTACCAAACTTTGAATTTTGACGCTGGGCCTATGTGCAATTTCCAAGCATCTTCGCAGGTTTTAAATTCAAACTACCCCACAAAGGCCTACCATTTCTTAAAGTAGACACCCCAGGGTGTTTCAAAAGGTATATTTTGAACCTTAGCGTGGGATCATTTTTCCGCTAGCTTGTACCAGATGTAGTGGTAATAAGCGTTTTTTCTGCCTTTTTGACATACAAAGTGAGTTTGCACAGTATATTTTGCAAACCTTATGTGTGCTACGACTGTATAATACTTCATATGTTGCTCAGCTATGTCGGCTGAGTACAGCAATACCCCCGTATGTACCTTTGCCAGGTATATGTGGATGTTGAAGGGGCGCATTTGAGACGCAGCCATTCAGTTTTTTTCTAACTTTGAAGTTTTACGCTGTGTCCATGTTCCAATTTGGAGTAGTTTAGACGGTTGGTTATTGAAACTTCCCCACAAACACATACTATTTATTAAAGAATACACTCTGGGGTAATTCAAAAGGCATATTTTGAACCTTGGCGTGGGATAATTTTTTCTCTAGTTTGTTCCAGGTGTAGTGGTAATGAGTGTTTTTAAAATGTATTTTTTTACTTTTTTTTTACTTTTTTACTTTTAAAATATAGTTTTAAACTTTTGTTTTGCTTATTAATTTTTTTTAAACTTTCCTAAACTTTCTTAAAACTTTTTTACAGATTTAACATTTTTCTAAGCTTTTTTTTTTTACCGGTTACCCCTAACTAGCAGTAAGCAGCACTAACAGTAAATTCCCCATTTTCCCATAACTCCCACCCACCCCAGGTAGCAAAATATACAGTTATAAAATATTTAAATTAATTAATTAAATAAATTAAACCCCTGAGGGTTAAAAAATAAAAGTTAATCCTCAGGGGTTAAAAAAAAATTAGATCACAGTATAATACTGTGATCTGTATTTGATCGCTGTAGGCAGTGATCGCCTGGCAGGGAAGGGGTTCATTTTTATTTGGACTAGGTAAAGGGGGGTGTTTTTTTATTTTTTACTTAAACGTTATTAAAACTTTTTTTAAGCTTAATTTTTAACTTTTTAAAGTTTATTTTAAAACTTTTTTTAACGTTAACCCCTAGTTAGCCTAACGCCAAATCCCCCAATTCCCCACTAACTTCCACCCACCCCAGCTAGCTAAATATATAATTTTAAAATATTTTAATTAATTAATTAAATAAATTTAACCCCTGAGGGTTAAAAAAAAAGAATTAACCCTCAGGGGTTAAAAAATAAAAAATAAAATCATTGTAAAATGTAATCCCTGCCAATTGATCACTGTAGTCAGTGATCAATTGGCAGGGAAGGGGTTAATTTTTTTATTAAAATGGGTAAAGGGGGGTGGGACTTTAAATTAACTTTATTTTTTTTCCTACAGGGGGCAGGATGAGCACTGTTCTGGCATCCTGCACTTCACACAGAACCAGGAAGTGTAGGGAGCTGGAAGGTAAGTATGCAGAGCACATGTGCTCGCTCCGACTTGCGGTCAGAGCGAGCACATGTGCTGGGCAGCCTGACCGGGTGCTCCCGGTATGCCTCTAATGCAGAGGCATACCGGAGCACCATTAACCCCGCGATCGCCACGATAGCGGCGATCCGGGGTTAATTTTACCGCGTGACGGACGAGGTCCGTCACTCGTCACTAAGGGTCTCCCCTCTGTGACGGACCTCGTCCGTCAACCGTCCTTAAGGGGTTAAAGATGGGCAAGCAATCTTCCAATACAGCATTGTATAATCTTTTACTCCACCCCCACAGCCCTTTTTATAGGCACAATATAGTTACCCTTAAGTCCAAATAAAAACACAATAGGAGCATTGATCGTTATGGGGGATATCAGAGTAATCAAAACTAGGACCATACCATTTTTTGGCCCATTGGGTAAAGTATTTCAATAGCTCAAATGCTCAACAGAGCTTATGTGGATGAAGTAACTGTGTTTAATTAAGTTATTGTACTACTTATACAGTATCTCACAAAAGTGAGTACACCCCTCACATTTTTGTAAATGTTTTATTATATCTTTAATTAAGTTATTGTACTAGTTATACAGTATCTCACAAAAGTGAGTACACCCCTCACATTTTTGTAAATGTTTTATTATATCTTTTAATGTGACAACACTGAAGAAATGACACTCTGCTACAATGTAAAGTAGTAAGTGCACAGCCTGTATAACAGTATAAATTTGCTGTCCCCTCAAAATAACTCAACACACAGCCATTAATTTCTAAACTGTTGGCAACAAAAGTGAGTACACCCCTAAGTGGAAAGTCCAAATTGGGCTCAATTAACCATTTTCCCTCCCTGATGTCATGTGACTCATTAGTGTTACAAGGTCTCAGGTGTGAATGGGGAACAGGCAGGGGCGGGCTGGGCTGGGAGGCAGGGAGGCAATTGCCCCCTGGGCCGCCCTAAATCCTTTTAAAACCGTCCGCTGCAAGGCCGGTTCTAATGCTGCAGCCTCCTGAGCGCCCTGTAAAGTGTGCACTGAGTGTGCACCTTCCTATCACTCCGGCTGGGCACCGCGGACCGGAGAGGAGCTCGGCCACGCTACAGGGAAGGGGAGTAACAGAAGGAGGGAGGGGGGAGTAACAGAAGGAGTGGGGAGTAACAGAAGGAGGGGGTAACAGAAGGAGGGTAACAGAGTAACAGAAGAAGGGAGTAAAAAGAAGAAGGGGTAACAGAAGAAGGAGGGAAGCAACAGAAGAGGGAGTAACAGAAGGGGAAGTAACAGAAGGGGTAACAGAAGGGAGGGAGAAAAGAAGGGGGGAAGAAGAAGAAGGAGGAGTATAGAACAGGGGTAAGAAGATGGGGGGTAAGAAGAACACAAGGAGGAGGGGGGAGAGTAAGGGTGAGGAGAAGGGGAGACGAGGATACGGGAGGGGGGAGGTGAGGAGGACACAGGGAGGAGAAGGGGAGAAGAACACAGGGAGGGGGGAGGTGAGGAGGACACAGGGAGGAGAGGGGGTAAGAAGAACACAGGGGGTGAGGAGAAGGGGAGATGAGGAGAACACAGGGAGGGGGAGGTGAGGAGAACACAGGGGGGAAGGGGGAGGTGAGGAGAACACAAGGAGGGGGGAGGTGAGGAGAACACAAGGAGGGGGGAGGTGAGGAGAACACATGGAGGGGGGAGGTGAGAAGAAGACATGGAGGGTGGAGGGGGGGATGAGAAGAGCACAGGGATGGTGGGTGAGTGTGAGAAGAGTGTGAGAAGAGACCGCTAGGGGAGGGTGGGGGAGAGGAGAGACCACTAAGGGTCAGGGGAGAGCTCTAAGGGACAGAAGGGACAGCTATATAGGACAGGGGGCAAGACAGCAAGCTCTTTCACACTACGCGCACACACACACACAATGCATCCCTATACATACAGAAACACAACATGGTTCCCTTACACACAGAGAAACACACAGTGCATCCATTACACACACACAACGCAACCCTTACACACAAAGACAATGCATCCTTTGCACACATCCACAGAAACACACAATGCAAATCCTTACACACACATGCAAACACACACACTGCTTTTCTTACATACACGCAGAAACACAATGCATCTCTTACACACACTCAATGCACACACCTTGCATCCCTTATGCATACAAACACAGATTCATGCAATGCATCTCTTACACACAACCAGAAACACACAATACATCCCTCATACACAAATACACACTGCTTCTACTACACACAAAAACACTGCATCACCTACACAAACTAGTATCCCTATACACTACATACCATAAGCACACATATCAGATCCTCTACAATAACACATCCCCTACACACTCCACTCCCTGTGAGTGAACTCATGGGTGGGTGGAACATATAAGTGGACTTATGAGTGGGCATACTCACCATCAGGCTCTGGGGCCCAGACCTTGAGCTTTGTAAGGGGCCCCAAAAAAATGGAGCTGCTTCTAATTCTCCCAGATCATTGAATTTTGTGACCACAGTTGCAAACAGCCTCCAGAGATCCTGTTCTACACCAGATCAGTGGAGCCAAACACCAGCCCATCATCATCCTCATCTGGTTGTAAGTAGGCAATCTAGTATATTATTAGTGACACTAATCTATAATTAACCTCACATTAATGGGACACTATAGTCCCTAGAACCACTTCAGCTTAATTAAGTGGTTCTGGTGTCTATAGCCGGTCCCTGCAGGCTTTTTAATGTAAACACACACTGTGTGCAGCACTGGCGTTAGTTCATATGGCAGATCATATAGGTGGGGCATTGTGATGTCACATGGGGGGCGGCAAATTCAGCTGTTCCCATGCAGCCACAGGTGCCGCTTTGCTGGGAGATTGTGATTACTCTTCACTTCCTCCCAGCCTACAGAGCAGCACATGGGAGAGAGAGAGGAGGAGGCATGATTTAATCTTACAAAAAATCCAGTAAGCAAATCTTTATAAATTTGGGGGGGGGGAGGGGAGGGGGTTCAGCTCTGTTTCCACAGTTTATTGGTGTTTACTCTGATGTCTGTATTAATATTGAGGGATTTCTAAGTAGTAACGTCAGTGTGTGTCAGCAGGGCCAGCCGTGCTGTGCAAGCTGTGCGGTCATGCAGGGTGCCATGACAACAGAGGTGCCCGGCGGCCAACACAGCTCACAAGTTGGGGACACCAGCATATTCAATTTAAACGATTAGCTGGTGGTCCACTGGTGCACACCAGCAGTAGGTGCAGTCAGATTATATCCTCTCCCTCGTGGTTCTGGGGCTCAGTTAGTGAGTCGGAGCACAGGCTCAGAGATTCTCAGCCTTCGCTCTGACAACATTGAAAGTCAGAGCCACGAAGGAGCGGGTATGGCAAAGAGCTACTGATTAGCATAACATCAATAACCGTTATAAAACCAGGAAAAGGTGGGCATGGATGGTGAACTGATTTGGTGGTGCAATGGGTCACTTGACTGGTTTTTCCCCCCCAGGCCTAAGGTTGCAAGCCCTCCCCTGGGAACAGGTGTGTTAAATTTGGTGTTATCGCTCTCACACTCTCTCATATTGATCACTGGAATTCACCATGGCACCTCATGGCAAAGAACTCTCTAAGGATCTGAAAAAAAGTGTTGCTCTACATAAATATGGCCTAGGCTATAAGAAGATTGCCAAGATCCTGAAACTGAGCTTCAGCACGGTGAGCAAGACCATACAGCGGTTTCACAGGACAGGTCCTATATGCCTCGCCATGGTCAACCAAATAAGTTGAGTGCACATGCTCAGCGTCATATCCAGAGGTTGTCTTTGGGAAATGGACGTATGAGTGCTGCTAGCATTGCGGCAGAGGTTGAAGGGGTGGGGGATCAAGGGGTCAGCCAGTCAGTGCTCAGACCATTGCATCAAATTGGTCTGCATAGCTGTCGTCCCAGAAGGAAGCCTCTTCTAAAGATGATGCATAAGAAAACCCGCAAAGAGTTTGCTGAAGAGAAGCAGACTCAGGACAGGGACTACTGGAACCATGTTCTGTGGTCCAATGAGAACAAGATAAACTTATTTGGTTCAGATGGTGTCAAGCGTGTATGGCAGCAACCAGGTGAGGAGTACAAAGACAAGTGTATCTTGCCTACAGTCATGCATGGTGGTAGGAGTGTCATGGTCTGGGCCTGCATGAGTGCTGCCGGCACTAGGGAACTACAGTTCATTGAGGGAACCATGAATTCCAACATGTACTGTGACAGACTGAAGTAAAGCATGAACCTCTCCCTTCGGAGACTGGGCTGCAGGGCAGTGTTCCAACGTGATAACAACCCCAAACAAACCTCCAAGATGACTAAAGAAGCTGAAGGTAAAGGTGATGGACTGGCCAAGCATGTTTCCAGAGCTAAACTCTATTTAGCATCTGTGTGGCATCCTCAAAAAGAAGGTGGGGGAGCACAAGGTCTCTAACACCCACCAAAGCCATGATGTCGTCATGGGAGGAGTGGAAGAGGACCCCAGTGGCAACTTGTGAAGCTCTGGTGAACTCCATGCCCATGAGGGTTAAGGCAGTGCTGGAAAATAATGGTGGTCACACAAAATATTGACACTTTGGGCCCAATTTGGATATTTCCACTCAATTTGGACATTTGTACTCACTTTTGTTGCCAACAGTTTAGACATTAATGACTGTGTGTCAAGTTATTTTGAGGGCACAGCAAATTTACACAGTTATACAGGCTGTACACTTACTACTTTACATTGTAGCAGATTGTCATTTCTTCAGTGTTGTCACATGTAAAGATAAGGAGACTATATTTAAAAGAAGAAAAACTACCACAACAAGAGGACATAGTCTTAAATTAGAGGGACAAAGGTTTAAAAATAATATCAGGAAGTATTACTTTACTGAGAGGGTAGTGGATGCATGGAATAGCCTTCCAGCTTAAGTGGTAGAGGTTAACACAGTAAAGGAGTTTAAGCATGCGTGGGATAGGCATAAGGCTATCCTAACTATCAGATAAGGCTAGGGACTAATGAAAGTATTTAGAAAATTGGGCAGACTAGATGTGCCGAATGGTTCTTATCTGCCGTCACATTCTATGTTTCTATGTTTCTAAGATATAATAAAATATTTACAAAAACGTGAGGGGTGTAATCACTTTTGTGAGATACTGTATATTGGGGAATCTGCCTGAGAATGCAGGCAGCCCCAAAAAGCCAATCCCACCAATCTGAGTCATGTTATCACAATGACACTGCAATCA